CTTCCGTTGTTCCACTTTTAACTGCAATAGTCACATGTCATGGACAGAATAATTCCAAGCACGGCAACATCCTACATTCCTCTTCTGTGCCTTGAGCTGACAAATACACGGACCACATACGGGTTTACATCCCCTCTGTACAGGTGACAGTGATGTGACACATACAATGTAATTCTGAGACCGTTTATTTTTAAAGAGACCCTGTCGCCAACCAAAAAACCTGAGGGTATCAAAGCTCCCTCCTCTTCCGGGAGGGTCTATTTACTGTCTGTGCTGACCCAGCTCATAGTTTTCCCCTTTCCTCCCTCCCTATTAAAGCTCCCTCCTCTTCTGGGAGGGTCTAGTTACTGTCTGTGCTGACCCAGCTCATTGTTTTCCCCTTTCCTCCCTCCCTATAAAAGCTCCCTCCTCTTCTGGTATGGTCTAATTACTGTCTGTGCTGACCCAGCTCATTCTTTTCCCCTTTCCTCCCTCCCTATCAAAGCTCCCTCCTCTTCTGGGAGGGTCTAATTACTGTCTATGCTGACCCAGCTCATTCTTTTCCCCTTAAAATGGAACTGGCTGCAAAGAAGCTGCAGGAGATCAGCAGCACTGAGACGCAACAAAGGATGAAGAGAGGTAACAAGACAATTATTTGGGATACGCACTGCTTTAGAAAATTTAATATCATTCCGTTGAGGTTCGCACCTACTTTAAAGCCCCCAAGACACACACAAAACAGAACATTCAGGATTTTTTGCAGACAGTGCTCTGTAATTACGGGACTTGGGTTCTTGGGTTTCAGTCTCTGCCAATATCTAGCAGAGAAGCCCGGTCATATGAAAGATAATAATTGGATGGAAAGTTTTTATAGCTACGGGATATTGTCTGATCATAAAATAGATATTTAAAAAGGGAATGCACGCAGCTCGCCAATTGAATCCATTCACCCCGCTCCTTCTCAATTTCCTTTTCCTCCACTGAGGAAGATCTCTGTTAGGAAGTGGTAGAGAGCGATCAGGTGCAATGCTCCAGCACAGAAAACGCTGATTGGTTGATGGATTCCCAATGACAGCCGAGCTCCAACTATAAACATTTACTGACATCTTCGCAGGATTGGCTATTCAGATATTAGAACCAGGGCCGGATTTACTCTCTCTGCTGCCCCAAGGCTAGGTTCCCCAATGCGCCCCCCCTACCCACCAAACCCCCTCATGGAGAATGGCAGACCTGCAGGCTGCATACAAGTCATCTCGGTGACATCGCCGGGATCACTTGTACAAAACAAGTGGCGGCTTCCCCGCTATACATTTAGCTCTGCTTGCCCAAAGCAGGGCTAAATGTAGAAAACAACTGCATGTCCCAGGCATCGGGAGATAGGAATTCCACACCCCCGCTGCCCCTCTTCTCCCTGCTTCCCCAAGGCCGGGCCTTGGTTGGCCTTGTGGGAAATCCGGCCCTGATTAGAAATAGACATGTGCGATTTGGTTCATTCTGAATCAAAATTCATACGAATTTTTATGAAATCAGAATTTCCGTTTCCGAATTTCAGGTCCAGTTTGAATTTCATTCAAAAACTAAACTGAATCGGACATGTGACTTTTCTGGCCAATCAGATGTGTTTTTCGGTTTAGTGCATCCAAATGGGTCTGAATCCGAATTTTCGAATTGCATCCCAGACCCGAATGCCATTGCCCCAGCATTACCGAGAAACATATGAAATTCCTATCCTCCACGGCTCCATCTAGTGGCAGTGATTCTCACAGAGTTTGGCCACCCTATGTCACCCCGATGAAGGGACCTTGTGTGGCCCCGAAACGTTGGTTTTTCATGTGACGCACTTCTGTAATAAATGCACACAAGAAGTTAAAATGTTTTTCATTGAGTGCTGGTGATTTCCATTACTTTCAAGACTTACAACGTAAATGGCGCATATGGAGGGTGATTGTTTTAGGCTGAAAAAACCACGCCGTTTCACTTTAAGTCCCCGTTCACACCAGGGGCGTCCCGTGGCTGGGTGCCACCCGGTCTCTAGAACAGGTGACACCCCGCCGTGTCGTCATCGCACATGACCTCATCACGCATGCGCGGCCATCTGATTGACTCCTGCTGGCAGCCATCTTGGTGGTGGACGCCGGCAGAGAGAGGAGGGGATGTTCACCCGGCCGGATGAGGTATGCCGCCAGGTCCCCTCCTCTCTCAGGACAATGTCGGGCCCTCAGTCCATGACCGAGTGCCCGACTTTGTAGAGGGGGGTGACATCAAAATGACTGTCAGTCATTTTAGTGTCAACCCTGCAATGGTGACAACCGGGTGCAGGCCACACCCCCTTTGTGACGCCACTGCTTCACAGCTAGGCATCCTGTCGCTCAAAGCCAAGCCACAAAACGTTTAAGACAAGGAATCACATTCATTTCTATGGCCCTTGTTCACACCTGAGTGCTTTGTCAGAAAAATGCCTGTTGCTGGAAAAAGTACATGAGCTACTTTTCAGCAGATAACAAAGCTTTCTGGTTCCATAGACATCGATGGGAAACTTTGTACGATAAAAACACACAAAGGTTTGAAACATGCGTTTCCGGGCATTTACCATTGATGTCTATGGGGCCATACAGGTATAAAGCATAAAGTCTGGTTTTAGGGAAGTCAGCTTGGAGCCCGTTCTATCTAATGTTTTATTGTACACAATCCATAGGAAAAACAATCTCCGTCCACCTTTAGTTGTCGTCTTGCAGCAATAAATGTGATGAAATACACATGTATGGCCATCCCAATACATTGCCTCATACTGGAAACGAAACAATTCTATCAAAAATCATTGAAAGGAAAAAATTTACAGGAATCTGCGATCAGCCCATGAACTTGGGCCTGTGTGTTTTTAATCTGTAGCAACTGACCCAAAACTAAAAACGAGGCTCTCTAAAGCTGGAGGAACAGCAAATCCAAATGGGAAAAAAAAAATTGTACAAAAGCGCTAACAAATCATACATTTTTGTGGACGAGTGCTGGTATATAGACAGAACTTGGCAACCCTTGTAATCAGCCATCTTAGGATGATGTCAGACGGGAGATCCTACAATTAGTTTCTTTTAGTGAATACGGCTTGTTAGTGTGAGTGCGTGCTGTTGCAGTTCAATGAAGAAAAGCTCCCCTCTACCTGCAGACCAAAGATCCCCCCAATTCCAGCACATGCATTCCCTACACCTTCACCAAAATCAAGAACTGATTCTGTTAACAGGTATGTTAAAGCTGAACTCCGGGCACAGAAACGTAGATTTAAATATATTCCTCAATAGCCTCTAAGGGAATAAATCCACTTTGTGTGTGGTAAATGGCTTTGCCGACCCCAGCTATTGCCATATAAAGTAGCAGTGTCACCATCAGTGAGCTGCACATTGCAGAGCAGTTGGAGGGACCCACCAGGCTCCACCCGCTACATGAGGGGGCGGAGACAAGACCGGTCATCCTGCACAAGGAGAGAGAGCAGCAGTGAGCGGTCTTTATCACAGGAAGGGGTGGAGACAAGACCAGTCACTCTGCACAAGGAGAGAGCAGTGAGCGGTCTTTATTACAGGAAGCTCCGAGTCTCACACTGGATTAATGCACAGATCTTGAAGAAACACACAAAGCTCACTAAGATTTAAGGAGGAATACATATGCCTCTTGTATTTAGACAGAATTTTCCTATCCTGGAGTTCAGCTTTAAGCCAAAAACTTTTTTTTCTTTAATTTTTGGTAGAGAAGGGAAGGGTTACAACCCCTTTATCTTTTTACTGCTATTCAGGGCTCCGTTAGAAAGAATAATCCTCACTACACCCTCACTGCCTGGCCTGAGGACAATGGTTTTACACGACAGAAAGCAAGCAAAAAAAATCTGCAACATGGACACAGAAATAGAAATCTGATAGGGGTTCTAACCTTCCTCTATACTACTAAAGGAAAGCATTTTTATTCATGTTTGTGTTGGTGTTGCAGAGTTCCTTTAAAGCAGAACTCTGGGCAAATGTGCTCTTAACCCTTGCAGTGGGGTAACCCCCCCACTGCAAGGGTTAACTGCTGATTTTTGTCTAGGTGATAGAATAAAAGAGTTATACTCACCCGATCTTCCAAGCCGGCTTGCTCTTAGACTGGTCCCTGGAGCCTCTCTTCCCCTCCACTGAAGCAGTCTAGGGATCCATACACCATGTATAGTATGTGAGGACACTGAGGAACATACCATCGCTACAGCAGGGAAGAAGACCTCTTCAGGGACCAGAGGAGCAGCCAGCTGGGTCTGCGGTAAGGGTTAGTATAAGCTTTTTTTTTTTTTTTTTTTTTTTAGCACTTAGACAAAAACGAGAGGGTAGCCCCACTGCAAGGGTTGAGAACTCTTTGCCCGGAGTTCTGCTTTAACTTCCTATCTGGTAAAACGCAGTCAGCATGAGAGGAAGTGAGGGTAAATCTTTCTAAGGGAGCACCGGATGGCAGCGAAAAACTGACAGGGGTAATAGCATTTCCCCGCTCTAACCAAAACTAAGAAAAAGGTTTTGGCAGGACATATACTTTAATAAAACGTAAGAAAACATATATTATATACATACATATATAAAATAACTTAATGGGTAAGACCATTGAAAAGTGATATTTTAGTTTCAGAAGGAGCCTGATGTGCTGGGTCTTCTTATACGACGTGGATACTCCAATGTCGAGATTATCCTGACATAATTCCTAACTCTGTTTCTGTCCAGCTGGAAGTTTTGGGTGTTCCCTTCCACCCCTGTGTGTCACAGCTCCTCCCCTTATATTCACCACCATACAAAATAAAATCCAGCAAGGATAGGAAGCACCTCATAACAACAGGCAAGTAGGTATGTGTATGCCGGGCACCCAGCACATGGATCTCACCAATAAACACTCAAAAAGATCGAGTAGACTGTCAGGTGTTTTAAGTCTTCAGCATCTCCCAAATATTACTTTTCCCAAGGAATGACCCTTTAAATGGTGGAAAGATCTGCTTCACAATAGAATGGGGACAAACATACCTCATAATCCAGAATACTGAACCCGAGCCCTCTTTTGTCTTTCACCAGTTCAACAACTTCCACATCTGGAGACCACAAAGTCAACTCTCCGTCGTCTTCTTCATTGTTTAACTGAAGTTCACGAGCTGTGTCTTCTACTGACTTTACCGAAAACAAAAGTTTAACCATTAATAAAAAAAAATTAAAAAAAAGAAGAATTAAACCATCTGGGGGATAATTGAGGAATGTTGGTGCAAGATGAAAACACAGATGAAACCATGGCTGCAAAAATGTGACCACCACAAGGTTTGTCCGTAGCATGGTTGTGACAATTGTTTCAGGCTTATTCATATCAATGTACTTGGACCCCCTTTGCCCCAGCCTCGGAGGGGAAGGGGGGAGGGAGGACAAAAGCAACTATCTAGGAAAATCTGTATTAGACCTGAATTTAATATTCATTTCAGGAGACTTGTCAGAAACGATGTCTATTATATGTCTGTGTGTGGGTTACATAAGCAAATTTTCCTGTACAACCAACTAGCCAGATCTGGCAACAGTTGTCTTGTGCAATAATAGGCACTAGGGATGCACCTATACTGATACTAGTATCGATATCGGTGCCGATGCCAAGTATTTGGGCGAGTACTCGCCCAAATGCTCTGATGCCTAGCCCGATACCTGAGTAATTACACGCTGCCCAGCTTCCTGATTGGCCATAAAGCTGGCTCGATGCTCCCTTGACACTTGGTGACTAGGGGGCATGGAGCCAGCTTCCCGGCCAATCAGGAAGCAGGGTGCCGTGTAAGGACTTGTTGGCCAGCTTCGCGAGCAATCAGGAAGCCGGGCAACGAGTCATTAATTATTATTATATAAAATGGTTTATATGGCTTGTTTCATTAAAAGTATAAAGAAAAGCTTTGTCAGGTTACCACTGTAGATGAAGGAAAAAGCGAAAATAAAAATACTTATTCTATACCCACAGGATATCCAAGGGTATACCTATGGAGGTGGGAGGTACACAGAGGACAACTGCTGCTGGACCCATCAAGTATAATATATATTTATTTAATGCTATAATTATATCTGGCAATTACAATACTAAAAAGAGGCACAGTTCCATCTTCAGTCTACAGTAGCATCTGCAGGCCGACAGTTTATGCCTGCATGTGATCACAATGTTATAGCCGTTTGACACAGCTGACAAAGTGATCACATCATCAGACACCACTCTATCTGGTTGCTGATTGTTAGCTGTCATCGACAGACTGGTCTAATAGATTGCAGCGACAGTTGCAGCTGTCAAAGTGGGAACATAGAGTAATGCTTCCTGAGCACTGTGTGCAGCGGAAAATTCATCTATAGACTGCTGGTGGGAAGCAGCTAAATATTATATTGGTAAATACATTTTCTAACATCTAATCAAGGCCAAGGATCAGCTTAGCATATCAATGAGTCTTGATAAGCTACCTTACTAACATGCGCAGAGCCAACTGCTTGTGGTGTCTGGAAAACATCTTCTTCCTAAAAGAGAAAAACACAAAAAAAAAGGATAAATAGATATAACAAATACCAGTTCGATTTAAATGGAAAAATGTGTGGGTGAAAAGTTGTGTGAATCTTTTGTGAAACCCTTTATAAATAGACACTTAAGTGTCCTTTGTTTAACTTATTACTGAAAAGTAGACATGTGCGATTCGTTTCGTATCGAAATTGGGACAAAATGTTGGAAATTCGAATTTCCGAAATGTACCATGTCCGAATTCATCCGAAAGCATCCGAATCCGAAATTCCGGATCCGAAATTCTAAATTTCGTCCTAACGGAAACGACATTAGAAATTTACGATGACTACAAAAGAGGATTTCATAGCATGTGAAGATAAAAACATTACTTCATGTTCCTGTGCGTGCACCGTCAATGTTTGAACGGATAAACAAAATTAGGAAAAGGATTTTAATGTCCCTTTTTATAGTGAAGACTAGAGCACAGCCACCAGAAATGTCAACTGTGCTAATTCTGCTACGTACGAACATTCGTCCGTTCGCGCAAAACCCCAAATTTCGGAAATTCGGCCGAATTACAAATCCGAAACGAATCCGAAAACACATACAGGACCCAATTTCGGAAATACGAAGCAAAACTAAAAACGAATTTTTTCGGCTGCACATGTCTACTGAAAAGAATGTAACATTTTAGTATAATATGTATTATATGTAAGAAGGAGCTACCATTTCATCTTGGATCCTCAAAGATTTTGAATCATTCGCAAAGTTGTCGTTTTCATCATCAACCAATCGACGACAGCAGACCAGTGTAAAGGGAGGAGGTACTTCTTTGAGGAATGAAATTGCCTCCCTGCGTGACTTTCCGTAGAGCTGCACCTGGTTGACCTATGGGGAAGAAAAAGGGTGTGAGACCCAGTGGGTCATATGACAGGACATTGCTATAGTCCACGTGCAATATATTTACCAGGACAAAAAAAATACTTATTTTTGTCTTATTGAGATTAAGTTCTCCATAAGTCAACACTCTTCTACAGCATTGAGACTGTCACATACCAATAGCAATCTCAGGTTTAGTTTACTAATTTGTATTGAGATTGTAGTCCATCACGGGAGCGAGCTTGGAGCGGTGACTACTTTACAACACACACAGGGACCATGGGGAACAGACGTAGCCCCCCTCCAGAAGGAAGGACAGTGTCAGCACCAATTCAGAGATGATTGGAGGATCTACAGCCGAGTGATACACAAATAAGATACGTTTTTGTTAAAAGTTGGGGTACATGGATGCATTTTAAAGATTTAACTCCGGAGTTTAGTGTCACTTTAAGGCAAAATAACCTAAAACAGCTGTATGAAGTTTGGAATAAATGGTTCGATCATATTGTGCAATATACACCAGAACTTCTGGAAGTGCATCTGGTCAAAAGGGGTGAACAGCAATAACTTGCATGACTCCGCTCACTGTCCTGAAATGAGGAACAATCCTTTTATTTTTGGGATACGTGATGGAATGACACATGCGAATACCTTCTGTTTTAAAGAAGGCTTTACTGTGCTATGCACTGATTCAGTTGGAGGGGTTTTTGATCCCTATAATTCCTTCTTGCCACAACCCGTATGGTTATACTGTCCCATTGGGTTCCAAGCCCTACTCCATAGAAGCCAAGGTTTCCATACACTGCACTGAGATGACAGCCATGCAGAGTGAAACTTTTGTATGCAGTTTGGAATAAATGGCTATGTAATATTAGGTTATATTTGCCCCAGCAGTTCTAGATGTGCATCTGGCCAAAGGAGGAAAAAGCAATGGATTTGCCTTACTGCCCACTGTTAGTATACTCTGTTGTATTGAATAATGTAGAGAATAAAGCGGCAGCTTCCTTCCTGTTTTAGTCAAGCCATGTGCAGCATGCATATCAGACTGTGTGCTTGTGTTTCTCTGTGAGGCTGTGCAAGAAATTCCAACACCCACTGTCCTAAAATGAGGAACAATCCTCTTATTTCGGGGACATGAGTTGAAATGGAGACGTGTGAATACCTTCTTCTTTAAAAAGGCTCTACTGCGCCACAACAAAAAAATAGAAAATCTTGCAGGGAACTTGCTTGAGCAAAATGTCATGATTTTCCCTATAAAACAGCAATTCTTCACTTTTCGCGATCCGGTCCGCTTTAACGAGCTATTTGTAAGATCAAAACTGGCAGCATCGCAATTAAGCAGTTTGTAAATCTGCATCAAACTTGTTTTATGAGACTCTGTTGACCCAAGCCGGCCAACCCCGGTGTAAAGATAAACACGTATTGTTCCAACAATACCATTTACATTGACAAGGGTTTGCAAGATGTGCTCAGGATTGTGTCCCTAGCACGTATATATGAAGTGATGCTGATAGGTGCTTGGGTGTAGCCGAACTGTTCTAGAGCGCCAAGCGAGGTTTTTTTTCTTCGTTCCTTTGTCCGCAGTTCTTTAACCAGTATTATGTCTTGTAGTCTTTTTTTTTTGTCAAAATATGTCATTCCTTCCAGAGCGAGATTACATTTCTGGGAATAAAAAAAAAAGCAAATCCAACAGCCTTTTGAGGTTATTAAATTATGTGTACGCCGAGTACTGACATGGCAGCATGGCTCTTTAGGTCAAAACGAGCGTGAAGAGAATCCTAATAAGAGTTTCCTGCACTGGCCCCAGATTGTTCTGCACGGAAACTTTGTAAGCCGCATCGGTCCTTGATTTTGATCAAATATTAAAAAGGGAAACAGCTTGGGTTTTGCCTTTGTTTTATGGTAGTCATAGCGATCTACAGGAATCGCTCGACATACCGAGCAGGACACTGAGTACTTTATTACAGGAAAACATGTCAGCTCAGCGAGAGGCTTGACAAGATGCGAGGAAAGTAATGGGAAGAACCTGTCCAGAGATGTTGATGGCTTGCATGTGGCTCATAAATCCCAGATAAAGCAAATATTGGGCGGTTTGAGATTTAGGCAGACCTCCAGGCAAATGGCTCAATCCATGATTGAAATGTGAATGGTCTTATATGCCAAAATTCTTTTTTTTTAAATTTTGCGCAGACACTTTTGCGATTCACATTCCCGTACGGCACAGCCAGGAACATACCACTACTTTCCCTGCTGGAGGTAAATGTAAGAGACTTACCTGCAGATGGACTCCTGCCCAAAAACATGCACGCACTCAAGTATGCAATCCATTGCTTAATGTTCCTGGAAAATGCGCTTCAGCACGTGGGCGCACATGTACAGGTCTGTTTATGCGCAATAGCGCACGCCCGTGAGCGTGCGGAAGTGTGCTCGGAAGTGTACGGATGCACGCTCATTAGCGTGCACACTATCAGATATAAACAGACATTAAGCCATGACCAAGTTGCAGAGTGGTCTTTAGCTAGTCCCTGTGTGCCCTGTACTCTCTTCTTGTATCCGGATGTCCGGTGTATAAACCGGGCTTGTGACCAATTGACTTCGCTTCCTCCTCCTGATTTGGTACCTCTGCTCTCTGATCTCCTGTGTGTGACCCTGGCTTATGTTTCCTGATCCTGATCTGTGATGCGGCCCCTCAACATTTGGCTCCCTGTGTATGACCTCGGCTTGAACCTGACTTCCCTGACTGGTCTTCCACTTGGTGGATCGCTTCATCAGTACTCTGAGCAATGAAATCCAGCCAGTGCTCCGCTGGCCTCACATAGGAGAAGGATTTCTCCATATCAGAGCTTCCTCCCAATGACTGGTGATTGGATGACTGGGGGGTAGGAGATATTCAAGCAGCAGGAAGAGGGAGCACAGATCCACAGTATGAATGAAGAAGCCACAGGGAGATCCTTGCACTTCAGGTTCTCTGGTACAGCTTCCTCTCCAGCAAGGAAGAGACACTTCCTGTCCGTAGGACTACATTCTCACACTCCACTGTATCCATGGAGGGAGCCATGGTTGTCACCTATGATGGACTGCAAACATGTCTTCCTCTCTATCTTTATAATATGGGAGTTGCATGAGTAGTAGAATACCAAAGATAACATTGTTTGTGCTTTCAGTTCATCTCACAGGGACACGGACACTTCATTTGTGACAAGAACAGAAGCTATTTTCTGTACGTGCTGAAAATAATCATAGGTGAACGTAGAGCACTGAAAAAGGATGCAGCCACCACCTCTAAGGAAAGCTGAAATATATTAAAGCTGACATTTTGTCTGCCTTACCTGGTTCTTCATTTCCCACCTCATCAACATGCTAATCGTTAAAATCCTAATTTTAGATCCAGTGACATCATAACAGGGTTTCTGTGCTTCCGTATGCGATGCGGGCAGATCATGGCTGGTGGGAGAGGCCAGCAGGGTGCTACACATAACTTCCTGAAAACTTCACAGCCCCCTGCCTCAGTACTCATCACAAGAGCCATCAGGAGTAATGCAAGCAGTGGGCTGGCACTTGAGAGGAGTTAAGCAAATATAAAAATACCTTGATGCTACACAATATACTTCAATATTCTTCACATATTGTTCATATAATTCAAACAATATTGCCATTTCCTGCCAGATTGCCTTGTTTGTTTAGCATGTCTCCACCCCCAACATCTGCGCTCTATTCAGATGGGTCTCACTATTTCCACATACATACAATGTATAGCGGTGTAATAATCACTGGAGTCATGTTGGATCAACTTACTCCTACAATGTTTGTAGGCCCGAAGTGATCAGCTATTAGATTTCATACAATGTATTTACCTCCAGGAGTTCATCTTCTGGCTGCAAAATTCCAAGTTTGGCAACGGGACCTTCAGGAGCAATGGACGATATAAAATGGTGGCCATCGAAAGAGTCAAGTTCAACTCCCAGTCTCATAGTGTGGATGGGCAAAAGCTGCATTACATAGAATGAAAAACAATTAACTTGCTGAAGATAAATTAATTTGGGATTTATTAGTCAATTAATCAAATTGTCACATATGGCTGTTGGAAAGCCTTGACGCACTTTGTACTGCATAAGCGCTGTAGCGTGAAATGCGTTGAGCCATTCTTGCCACAATATGCGCCTTCTTCAATAAACATGTTTTCTTTGTTGCAAAAAAAATAATCAAATTGTGCTTGAGGAAGTTAAACACAGAAGTCAAAATAGTTATCCCTCTGCCATCACTCCTCCATTGCAGAACCCCTTTAAAAGAGAACTATGGGGAACTTTTTTATCCCATAGTTCTTTTAGGGTCACGGGGGGCATATACTAACCTCCTCCCGTGCGCCTCAGCTGGGACGGATCCCGACAATACTGCGGATCCCGGGCTCTGCCTATCTAGAGGTAGAGCCAGCTGTTCCCCTCCCCCCTGTCAGTTCCTCCAGTCAGCGCTGGAGGATCAAACAGGTTAGGGGGAATCCCTGCAGGGAGCTCACTGCTCTCTGCAGGGAGATGATCGGGAAGTTACCGCTTCCTGCTGTGATTTTACCCTCCCCTCTCTGCTCCTCAAGTACTCATTGGACGGACAGACAGGGGAGAGGGCAGGCACAGCTGGCTCTGGCTGTAGAGAGGCAGAGCGAGCTGTCAATCAGGCAGTGTGGCGGATCCTGACAATATTGTTGGGATCTCTCCCGGCTGCAGTGCGGCTCTGCGCTGTCAGCAAATAGCAGGCAAAGGGTCACAGGAGGACATTAGTAAACCTACTCCTGCAACCCAAAAGAGGACTAATGGCAAAAAAAGGTTTGGCTTTAGTTCTCCTTTATTCCTCACGGGTGGCCGTGTTTTGTCAGGACAAGGAGCGTTTGTAGCTCTTTCCAATTAACCGATGTAAAGATGTAACTGTGCTGATTATCGCACACTTGGATTTCTGGTTTTATATTTTAAAGAGCTCTTTAAATATGACAGCTTCCACCAGACCAGTTCTGTAAGATAAAACAACAGAACTTTGTGATAGACGAGGTCCAAAAAAATGAGGATAAATAGGGAATTACAGACCTTGGAGTATTTCTGCAGCTCTTCATCATCTTCTATTTTTGTATCCAGATCGACAACCTGTAAAAGGATAACAAGAGTCAGGGGAAGTGTTTGTCAACGGTATTACAGAAAATCTCTCAGTAACTTTACCAGTCTGCCTAAATGCCTGACCTGTCACAATATACAGCAACAGTATTATCTACCCCTTAGGCCTCATTCATACTGCTGCGCGTATCCGCGCGTACGTACGTATTGTACCCCTGCAACATATGCAAATAAATGACTCCATACACACAGCTGCGTATGGAGCCGTATATTTGCGCAGCGTATATATGCGCAAAAACAGAATGGAACAGAGATGCGTCCAGGCAGCGTATCTCTACGTATTTACGCACACATACGCGTGTTTACGCGCATATACACGTATGTACGCGCGTATACGAGTGTCTATGCGTACAGCACATTAAAATTCCATTACGAGTGATGCATTCTGGGATTGCATATAGTGCACGCATATACACGCATATACGCTAGGCCGAGATGAAGCCATCAGTCTGCTGCAGAGACAGGAGAAAACATCTCCTCAGTCTCCTCTACCTCAGTAACCAAATTGCAACAATGTAACTATATAGCAAGTTACACAGTGAGAGGCTGCACCAGGAGCTGATCTGTGTCAGATATTTGTGAATACAGCCAAGAACTGCACGGTAGGGTTGCCACCTGTCCAGGATTCACCCGGACAGTCCGGGTTTTGAATGCTGTGTCCAGGTTTCATGGCAGCTGAAACCCGGACACATGATGTCAGGCACACAGAGGCAACCAAAATTTAGATGGGGCTACTGGCCCCCCACACTGAAAATAGTCTTAACTGTGATATTTACATATGAATGGGTGGCGCTATTTACATGTGAATAAGCCACGACTCATTCTCCCCAAAAAATTTCAGCACGTCGCTAGAGTGTTCGGGTTTCTCTTGAAGAAAAGGTGGCAACCCTACTGCACAAGCAGGCTGAGCCAGCATCTCAGAACGTGCCGATTCCAGGCTTCCTGTAACTCTAATACAATTACAAGTTATCCCTGGGTATTGTGCCATCTTTAAGGCCGGGTTCACACCTAGGTGGCATAGTTTTTGTGCGTTTGTACGCGCGTGTTCAGCGTGCGGTTATTTGCGTGTTGTGCGCATTTTGATGCGCGTTTGATTAGCAACTTATAAAACATTGCAGGCAATGGACGAACGCTCGTTTAAACGCACACGAAAATGTGCAACATGCTTTTGCTGCCGCCTAAGCGGTCTATTGGGCAAAAACACACTGTTCCCTGCCCAAAGAAGCTCATATACCTTTTCGGGCATTTGGTGTTTTCCTGCTGGCGTTTTGCTGCTCAGGTGTGAACAGGGGCCATTGAAAATCCCAGAATTTCTTGTGTTAGGCATTTAAAAGCGCTTTTCCAACTAAAAAATGCCTAGGTGTGAACCAGGTCTAAGTCCTACTACTTACAACACCTGAATCCTGAAGAAGGGGTAGAACCCGTTGAGCCCAAGAAATGCGTTGGCTGTTTTATGTTATCCGGTTGTGAACTATAATCATTATTAAAAGATTTTGGACACTTGGACTTTTGTTGGGCACCCTCAGACAGTAAATACTTAGAAATTATGGCTAACGATCTTCTTACATGCTTTTTTTAAGAAAATCTACATGCATAATAATGAACTGATCGTATTTGCTCCCTATTGGACTGGAAAGTATACCATTGAACGCATTTTGTTCTATCGGTTTGATATTTTCAAAGAAATACCTGTTGATCATGCTGGAAATCTTGACAGCTGATTACTTCCTATGCTCTCTGCCTGTGCTGACTAAGTTAAACCGAGAATAGGGGTAAGTCCCTAGATTTTTTCTGTTTTGTTTTTTTTGAACACGCCAGTTCATTCACCTCCACAATCTGATGTTTTGCATTTTTGGGACCACACTCGAACTAATTGGACTAACCACGGAAGTTTGGGAACTTATATTAGCTCCCAGTTTTCCAGCTCCCCCCTTCCCCCCCTTGGCAACCCTACTGCACAAGCAGGCTGAGCCAGCATCTCAGAACGTGCCGATTCCAGGCTTCCTGTAACTCTAATACAATTACAAGTTATCCCTGGGTATTGTGCCATCTTTAAGGCCGGGTTCACACCTAGGTGGCATAGTTTTTGTGCGTTTGTACGCGCGTGTTCAGCGTGCGGTTATTTGCGTGTTGTGCGCATTTTGATGCGCGTTTGATTAGCAACTTATAAAACATTGCAGGCAATGGACGAACGCTCGTTTAAACGCACACGAAAATGTGCAACATGCTTTTGCTGCCGCCTAAGCGGTCTATTGGGCAAAAACACACTGTTCCCTGCCCAAAGAAGCTCATATACCTTTTCGGGCATTTGGTGTTTTCCTGCTGGCGTTTTGCTGCTCAGGTGTGAACAGGGGCCATTGAAAATCCCAGAATTTCTTGTGTTAGGCATTTAAAAGCGCTTTTCCAACTAAAAAATGCCTAGGTGTGAACCAGGTCTAAGTCCTACTACTTACAACACCTGAATCCTGAAGAAGGGGTAGAACCCGTTGAGCCCAAGAAATGCGTTGGCTGTTTTATGTTATCCGGTTGTGAACTATAATCATTATTAAAAGATTTTGGACACTTGGACTTTTGTTGGGCACCCTCAGACAGTAAATACTTAGAAATTATGGCTAACGATCTTCTTACATGCTTTTTTTAAGAAAATCTACATGCATAATAATGAACTGATCGTATTTGCTCCCTATTGGACTGGAAAGTATACCATTGAACGCATTTTGTTCTATCGGTTTGATATTTTCAAAGAAATACCTGTTGATCATGCTGGAAATCTTGACAGCTGATTACTTCCTATGCTCTCTGCCTGTGCTGACTAAGTTAAACCGAGAATAGGGGTAAGTCCCTAGATTTTTTCTGTTTTGTTTTTTTTGAACACGCCAGTTCATTCACCTCCACAATCTGATGTTTTGCATTTTTGGGACCACACTCGAACTAATTGGACTAACCACGGAAGTTTGGGAACTTATATTAGCTCCCAGTTTTCCCGCCCCCCCCCCCCCCCCCCCCCCTACAAGGTTCAGCGAAAAATCGCCCTGTTCCCTACTCGGCTTGCAGCACTTCTCCCTTCCCTTCACGGTTTAACTTACTCTTCGGTTGGACACCCCGGTCCATACGCTTTTGAGGCTGCTCAAACCGTATAACATATCTCCAATTTAACCCCTCAAGTGCAGCGCTGTATCCTGGCATGCTGTCTTTTTAACTTTGTGCTGACTGTAAGGCCTGGTTCACACCTAGGCGTTTATGAGCAGTTGGAAAAGCGCTTTTAAATGCCCAACACAAGAAATTCCGAGATTTTCAATGGCTCCTGTTCACACCTGAGCAGGAAAACCCCAAATGCCCGAAAAGATACATGAGCTTCTTTGGGGAGTCAACAGTGCATTTTTACCACATAGACTTCAATAGAAACGAGCAGCAGAAACATATTGCACATGTTCATGCTCGTTTTATAAGCACATTCATCCATTGCCCGCAATGTTTTATAGGCTGCCAGGTAAAACGCCCGTCTTCAGGTACCCGCATACATACATGCATCAAAATGTGCACCATGCGCATAAACATGCAAATAATCGCATGCTGAACATGTACAAACTTGCAAAAACCATGCAGGTGTGTGAACCCGGCCTTATGAATTACATTGCTCTCTATGTAATGGATAATAGGCGGGGGGCAGGTTTCCATTGTAATATCTTGTTTCAGTTGTGCTAGTTGGAAGTGTGGTATTGGCTGGATAACCAAGTGAACATAAAGAAAAGAAGCGAGAAAAAAGCAAAATGCAAGGCAACCACCACATCTAAGGACCGGTAAGTTCCAACATGTCACATTTATGTTTTTGGGATTGTGTACTATTTATTTTACATACCATAACTAAATAGTCGGGGCCAAGGCGCTTCTCCCACTTGGATTTTAATGCTTCAGTCTCAGGAGTCAGGGGGCCTATGAAGAAAGAGGCATTTATATATTTTTATAAAATGACATATAGAAGATGCAATTTATTAAGTTAGTTGCTGCTACTAATATCACTGACACATGAAAATTAGACATTTCACAATAAAAGGTTAGAAAAAAACTCCAGTCGTTACAAGAACGTGACATTCCCTACCGCTGGGGCTACCCTTTCCATCTGGTGGCCCGTAAGAATGGCAAGTCCCACATTTTCCGCACTCCGAGTGACCTCCCGGGAATCCTTCGGGCCCTACAACTTCCCCCGGTGACCCTAGAGGGATGGCCTGACCCGGCTTTACCGGATTGGGCCTCTGTGCCTACAGAATCTTCGTGGCTCCCAGCTATGTCCCAGAAGAAACGGCGACGCAGGCGCCAGGAGGCCAACCCCACACCTACTCCGCCACCCTGAACAGGCGGGCAAGTGAGGTGGTACACCGACTCTTTTCCAGAGACCCTGTCTGGTGGCTACTTTTGATCCCCCCTGGTTGACTCACAGATGATCGCCCCAAGACTGGAGGCTACCGGTTCCATACGTTGTTTCTTTTCCCTTCCAAACCCTGAAGCTACGAGCCTGCTAGACTGGGACTGGATCTCCAGAGATGACTACTTCTAGTCACTAGGGGAGGACATTGGTACCCTGTCTTGGACTGGCCCT